CATAATAATAGAACATTTTTCAGTTTTAGTGTTTAGGAATTAAATATTCCTCTATTTATTACAAGTAAGGAATCTACTGGTGTGCACTGGGGGGTACTGAGGAGTAATAAGGAGTACTTTGGGTTTCTATGGGGGTACTGCAGGGTACTGCTGGGTAATGCTATGTACTACTGGGTACTGGGGGGTTACTGGGGATACTGGGGGTACTGCCAGATACTTTGGGGTACTGAGGGATACTGATGGGTACAAGGGGGTAATGGGGAGTAATAAGGGGTACAGGGGGGTAATGTGGGGTTCTGCGGGTTATTGGGTGGTGCTGAGTAGTACGGGTACTCGTGGTTACATGGGGATAAAGGGGTTACGGGTAGTACAGAAGGGTACTGTAAGATACTGCAGGGCACTAGGAGTTACTGCTGGGTACCCTGCAGTATGCGCAGTTATCCCAGTATCCCGCAGTGCCATGCAGGGCAGAATAGTTCTGAATGGTACTGCGGGGTACTTAATGGTTCACTCGGAACTGCAGGGTACAATGGCACTGCAGGGTGCAAGAAATTAAAGGGTTCAGGGCACTGCATTACCCGCAGTACCCCGCAGTAACCCACAGTACCACACACTACCCCACACTACCCTACAGTATCACACAGTACCTCCCTCCTTCCCCCAGTGTGCACCCAGTACCCCCAAGTGCACTCCAGTGCATCCATGTTCCGTCCAGTACCCCCCAGTACCCAGTAGTACCCAGCAGTAACCAGCAGTGCCATGCAGTACCATGCAGTACCCTGCAGTACCCCACAATACCGCACAGTACCCCACAGTACTCCAGCAGAGGCGCAACAAGGGGGGGCGGCCGGGCGCGCGACCTCTCCTAGCCCCCCCCCTGCAGAATGAAAAGAAAGAAAGAATGGCGAAAATCAATTATCTTTCTCAATTCTCAAGGCTAAAGGCTATTGTAAACATTAAATGTAAAAAAAGTTCTGAACTGTATTTTATTTGTGTTGAGTTTATAGAGTACTCGTAGATATCAAACTTTGAATTCTTTTGGTAAAATATTCCAAGTTTGAAATATCAAATGTTTACACCACTCGGTGCAAAGATTTAGGGATTAGAATATTTGAGTTTGTGGCAAAAAATCAGTTCCAAATCTAGAGAAAATTCTGAACCTGGCAAATTTCTAACTGATTATCATATTTGATAACTAACAAGATTTATCTTCTTTGACAGAAGTTCTGTAAAATCGAAAATGAATTTAGATTATGAATGTTGGTTAGATCAATCATTAATTCAATAACTTCAAGAGAAAAGGTAACATTATCTGTCCTTTTTCAATGTAGATGATTGAAATTATTATTTACCTATGTATTTTTATGTTTTTTTTTTCCAGAAACTATAAATGATTATTTCTTGCAATTTAATCTGTAATTAAACCAGGTACTTAAAAATACTCTTTTGCGATTCGCACACATATTCAATGAATTGATTCATATCATTCATTTTACAGCTGTTGGAAGTATAAATTTTGTAAAAACACAAGAACAAAAAATCAATTTGAATTGAACAAAGCCAAATCTGCATGCAACAACTTAAAATTTCCTTTTTTTTCGACTTCAAACCCTTAAAAAAGCACTTATGTTTTTGAAAAATTTTCGAAAAAGGGGGGGAAACCCCCCCTTAACCACCACCCCCAAACCCTAACAAAATAATATATTGCCCCCCCCTAGCAAAAGTCCTAGTTGCGCCTCTGTACTCTAGAGTAACTCACTGTGCCCCACATTACCCCAAAGTACCTAGCAGTACCAAGCAGTATCCTGCAGATTTGGGATTACAAATTGGCGTGGCTGCCATCCCTCCCTCCATTAAGTGATCAGCTGATCAATTAAACCTTTTTCATGCATGAAAAAAGTGCAAAACTATTAACAAAATTATACTTAGAAGTGCTTCTAACTCTACTTATATATTTTTATTTAAAAGTAAAAATTCTGTTTGGTTTGACCACAATCATTTTGTGCAGAATATTTTCTAATTTCTGAAAGGTTTTACATCGGAATGTTTAAGGATATAGCTTGATATAAAGTAATAATTATCACTAATTATTTTGACTTAAACTTTTAACTAAGTGAATTTAGAAAACAACATGTCGGTTTAAGAAAGTTTTAAATAAATATAACAAAAAGTGTTATCAAAAAATTTAACTTTTTTAGGTTTATGGGATGTTTTAAAAAAAATTCAAAATAAATATTTCTGACACCCTTAGGCTTAGTACGTCAATATACTTACCAAAACCATATCTGCAGTCCTTCAATATATATACACCGACCCTCTGTTTGACTGCCCTTCACCCTACTCTATGGCCTATGCATAAAAAAATACAAAGAACCTGTCAAATCTTTCCCTGGGATATTTAGAAAAATACAAAGAACCTGTCAAATCTTTCCCTGGGATATTTAGAAAGATGCAAATTTCCCTGTATGATAATAGAACTTAAAAAATTTTAATTTTGATAACACTTTTTCTTCTGGTTGATTGCATATATTTATAGAAAACTTTCTTAAACCAAAATGTTTTTTTCTAATTTCACTTTGTTAAGAGTTTAAGTCAAAATTATTATTGATAATTATTGCTTTATATCGAGTAGATATCCTTAAACACACTAATGTGAAATCTTTCAGAAAGTAGAAAAGATTCTGCAAAAAAAGTTGCCAAACCAAACAGAATTTTTATTTTGAACAAAAATACTTAGAACTTATTTAGAAGCTTTTCTGGGTTGCACTTTACTCTAGTTTTGCATTATTTTCATTTGTGTATAACAGTACAAAAGAGATTCTGTTGATGGTTAAAATTAAACAGCTGATGATTTATTGGAGGGAGGGATGGCAAAAACACCAATTTGTAATTCCCAAATCTATTTATGGAAAGTGATTGTGACAGGGTATACAGAGTACTTCAGGGTACAGGGTACTACAATGTACTGCAAAGTACTGGGCTTTACTGGGGTATACTGTGGGGAGCGGGAAGGGGTTTAAAGAAACCAAACAGAATTTTTATTTTTAATAAAAAAATGTAAGTTTTATAGGAGTTTTTAAAAAATATGCAAAAAAATCATTTCTGACACCCCTAGGCTTAGTACGTCAATATAATTCTCCAAAACCATATCTGCAGTCCTTCAATTATCATACAGGGAAATTTTCATCTTTCTGAACATCCCAGGGAAATATTCTACAGGTTCTTTAGTATAAACTATTATGTTGAGAAAGTTAAGAAGTTCTAATGTAAGCCGTTTAAAAGTTATTTAGAAAAAACCACAGGGGGGTGGAAAATACCCCCCCCCCCATCATGATAGGGTTAAGTACAAAGAGAATAAAATATATATTAGATGGGAATTTACTAGAAAAAAGTGTAAAACGGCCATTTTGTTGTACTGTTTCCATAACCTTTTTTACGGGAAAACAAAATTTGGAGAAAAAGACAATTAAAACAATAATGAAAATTATTTCTTTAACTTGATTATTATATTTATAGAGTCCGTATGTCGAGAAAATTGGAAAATTATTGCTAATTTACAAGTAATATTTATATTTGATCACGTTTTTTTCAAAAAACTTCCTCCACGGGGTTCGGAGACTTTCCACGGGGTTCGGAGACCACTCCACAGGGTTCGGAGATTTTCCACGGGGTTCATGGCTTCTTGGCCTTCCCTCCCTACTGCAATCTGCATCTTTTCATTAAGAATAGTGAATGCTAAAATTTCTAATATTAAACCCCCACAAATAAATAATTTTCAGTATTAGATTTTCGATTTCAGCTTGGAATATGTAAATTCAAATAACACATTTCGGAACATGTTGCAATTTTGGGACATTTCATATATTTGAATCGGATACTTTTAAGCATTTACAAGATTTGTATACGGTAGAATTTTAATAATAAACCAAAAAAATGCAAAAAATATTTTCAGCTGATATTTCTAAATATAATAACTTGCTATTCATTGAAAGAGATTGAGTCTCTGTAACACACTGTGGTTTTCCAATACCTATATTTTTCCACCTGATGGTGACACCTTTGATATTTAAACTTAGATTCTTTCATCCAACAGACTTCATAATTAGAAATATCGAAGGTCTACGGCATTGAGTTGCAAAGATATAGATTTTTGAAAATCATAGTTTGTGACAAAGACTCGATTACTTTCTGTAATTAATATTTTTTGTCCTTTCAATCAAAATTAACAAATGCGGGAATTTTTTTTTAAATGGAGGAAACTTTAAATCCTCAAATCTCAGTTTTTGAAACTTTAAATGTGGAAACAAATTTTAGAATAATTCAGAAGATAACATTTTTTTTCGCTGATTCATGCCATTCTGTAAATTATGAATATTCTCAATTATGGATTGTTACAAAAGTTGATGTTCCAGAACGCGTCCAAAATTCGAATTCGTGACGTATGCAAAAATGAAAAACCTTGAATTGTTCTGAAACTGGTATGGGTTTTTATAAAAAATGAACGACCGCTTCCAGTTTTCTTTAAGAAAAGAAATAAGTAGTGGGGATAAATAACAAGTTTGAAATAGTTTCATTGATGGTAGAGTTACTAAAACGTTTTGCTAAAACCTGACTCTTTGTGTCAGGTTTGGAACATCAGCATGGTTTGGAACTTTCTTCCCCTGTAATTAGGGTTTTATTTTGTGTGCTTTTTATCTCGACATTAAGAAACGAAGTAATTAAATTAATGGTTTAGCTTTGTGGCATTGTATAATTTCTAGTTTTTTCATAACATGGAACTCGTTTGTTTTGAGGCATATAAAGTGAAATTTCTAGTGGTATTGACTATTTTCAATACTTATTGGTACAATTCAAATTTTTTTTTCAAACTTGTGGCATGGTCTGAAGCTTATATTCGCAAATATTGAATTGATAAGTCTTATTTATCTAAAATACTGATGCTTCACTTGGCTTGGAGTGTAATTTTATCTCAACATATTAAATTTTTTTGTTTTTTTTAGAGTTTATTATCCCTGTGTGCTGGTCTAGCTCTGGGTGGAGTTTATCATCCCCCGACCTGTAAAACTGTCTGGGATGAGAAATGTTGGGATGAACCTAGACAGCAGTGTGATACTGTACAGAAACCGTACACTAGTACAGTCACAGATCAGAAGTGTTCTACACAGTACGATAAACAGTGCAAAACTGTTTTTGATACAAAGGTATTTTCGTGTTATATGAAACTTACGTATATTACTGTTGTCAATTTGGAAGGAGGTTTGATGTGGCTCACATTGTCACAAAATCGATCACCACCAAACCCCATTTCAAATTTGATTTTGTGACAATGTGAGCCTCGTTAGTTTTAGAACTTTTTGTTAAGTTAAGAGATGATATTTATAGTGTATGCCAATTAAATGTGTTACTAGGCTTTAAACGTCAAAACATTTTTTATTTGAATTTAAAAATCGAAAAAAAGGGGATCTGGAAATTTTGAAATACTTTTTCTTCGGCAAACTTAAGCTGCCCCTGCATCCTTGATACTTAATAAAAATTCTCAAACAAAATTAGCTAGCTGGATTTAATGAGGGGGGGGGGATTGTTTATTTCTTTTGTGGGTTTAGTTAATGCTTTGGATACTATTTAGGTTGAGCATGTACCCCGTCAAGAATGCACTACAGTACAGGAGCAGAAGTGCCACAAGCAATCTAAACAAGAATGCAACACTATCCAAGTACCTGTCACTTCTACTGTACCGGAGCAAAAGTGCCAAGATGTACCTGAGCAGAAGTGCCACACCGACTACGAGAAAAAATGCACCACTCAGTATGACCAGCAGTGCACCACTAACTACAAGGAGGAATGCACCACCAACTATGAGAAGGAATGCAAGACTGAATACAACCAGAAGTGCTCCACCACCCAGGAACAGGTGTGCGACACCGTGAATGAAACCCAGCTTGAAACTGTAACCAGGAACAAGTGCACTGTTGAGCTTAAAGAAGAATGCTACGATTCTCCTAAAATGGAGTGCAAGAGTGTCCAGAAGCCTGTTAAGAAGGTGAAGCATGAAAAAGAATGCAAGACTGTTTCCGATCGGGTTTGTAATACTGTTACTGACCGGCAGTGCAAGGTAGAGAATGACCGCCAATGTAATCAGGTTCCTGAGCAAGTATGCAACACTGTCTCTGAAAGAGTCTGCTCTACTGAGAGTGTAAAAGAATGCCAAACTACAACTGTTCGAGAATGCACTACTGAAACTGTCCGTGAGTGCTCTACAGAGAAGGTTAGGGAATGCAATCTTGTGAACACTCCTGTTTGTAATGGTATCCACTGTGCTCAAGTGCCCTCCATGCAGTGCAATGATGTGCCCAAGGAGAAGTGTTGGGATGAACCCAGAGAGAAGTGTTGGGACGAACCTAGAGAGACCTGTAAACAGGTTCCCAAGTAAGTATCTGAACTTTGCTTTATAATAGACCTTAGTTTTTAACTTTTGTAAACCTTCTTTCTGAACCATAGCTTTTAAAATTTAACTTGTTTCATTTAATTTATTGTTGTATGATTCCTTGCCCTTACCAAATTCTCTGCTTTGGTGTGATATGTTTTTTGCATTATTTCTGCTTGCAATCTGTTGAAATTTATATTTTGCTTTACATAGATTTTTATTAATGGTCGATTTTTTGCAGAGCTTTGCTTTAAGGTAATTCTGAGCTCTTCGCATATGCTTCTATATTTTAAAATTCTTTTACATAAAGTATCATTCATAAGACCTTTGTATAGGGAGAAGTGTTGGGATGAACCTCGCCAAGTGTGCCAGAATATTCCTAAGATGGTTTGCCAGGATGTTCCCAAGGAAAAGTGTTGGGATGAGCCTAGACAAGAATGCCGTGATGTGCCAAGAGAGGAGTGCCGTGAGGTTCCCAGGGAGTATACGGACTATATCTCTGTTCAAGAATGTAACTCTGTTAATGTTCCCGTATGTCGCCCTGTACCCCGTGAATCCTGCCGTAATGTTCCAGAACAGGTTTCAAAACTGGTTCCCAGACAAAAATGCTACAGTAAACCAAGAGAGGTAAATTTAGTACAGGAGTCCAATATCCGTTGTTTTTTTGTCTTATTTGCCTTTTGTTGATTCTAAATTTTATTTTAATACACCATACCAAATTGTGACCCTGAATATTATGAAAACTTAAACTATCCAACCCCTTATGCTTTATTTTGTCTAGGTCTGCCAACAGGTTCCTAATGAGGTCTGTAACAGTGTACCCAGGAAGCAATGTACCCAAGTACCCGTCAAAGAATGCAGACAGGTTCCAAGGTAAAAAAAATAGCTCTTATCCTTAAAGTTTGTCGTGCTCAAAGAAATTCACGATTTTATCTTCAGGGAAGAATGTACCAACGTTCCCCATCAGAAGTGTAAGACAGTTATAAACCAGGAATGTACTACTGTACAACGTACTGTCACCAACAATGTACCAGAACAGAAGTGCCATGATGTACAGACTGATGTTTGTGTTAATGTACCCAGACCTTCCTGCACTACAGTTACTGATAAAGTTGAATCTAAGGTTATTAATTTTTTTTTTCCCCATTAGAATTTTATAAAACGGGCATTTACACCATTTTATTAAGGTTGCACGTGAGGCTTGTGAGCAAGTTCCTCGTGAGGAATGTCGTCAAGTGCCCCGTCAGGTGACCAACTATAGGAATGAACAAGAGTGCAGAACAGTCACAGAACGGCAGTGCAGCAAGGTGTCGAGACAGGAGTGTACTGAAGGAGAATGGGTTCAACGTACACTTTAAATTTTCAATTTTATAATCTAGTGATACAAATTTTATAGATATTTTAGATTTGATGAAATATAGACTTTCAAATTAATTCTGATTATCTTCAGTGTTCGTAAAGATCTTGGATGAAAGATGTATGAATAGCAATTTTAAGAATCTAGCAGAAACATTTTAAAACCTACATATTAATATTTACATGATACATACTTATCGGTAATTCATGCAACAAAAATGTCATTGATTTTACGACTTTTTGCTTTAAATAGCTTAAATAAATCCTACTCCATAATCAAAGGAATATTACCATACTAATTGAAAAGGCCGGCGTTGATGGAGGAAATAAAATTTGAGTTTATATTTTTTAGCCTTAGTCACCCCCAGTTACTCATGAGCGTCCACATGAAATTTCAGCCCATTCGGTCCAGCCGTTTGGATGGCTATAGGGAACAAATATGTATGTCTTGTTTTATATTGCTAATTTTCATTAATATGATTTTTCTAAAAAAATTGAATGTTTAATAATCAAATATAAATTAAATTCTGATCTCTGCTGTACCCTGTTTATATTTGCTCGTTCGAGCATAACTACTGCAGGATGAATCGAAACCTTAAACGTCATCCTCGTTCAACTAAAACGTTAGATAATTCATTTAAACCTTTGTATTTATTTTCTTTCAGGTAATAACAAACAATTGAATTGTCGTGCTAGGATCCATTAATATAATTCAGCAGAGGTGGGATGGGGGGTAATTTTGTGAATATCTAGTTCGATAAATGATGCGTGTTTTCAACCTCTGACAAATCCAAAGGATAAGTGTTTTATATCTTTTCAACCGTATTTGGCATTTAGAACATAATAATATTGATACTCATTTGAAATATCAAAATTTTAGATGATTTAAAATATTAAATAATAGATGAATATGATCTAGTTCTTAACTTTTTAACGTTCTTAAATAGATTCTAGTACAATAGATGGCAACGTAGAATTTGTACACTCTCAATACAGCTGTATTCCTCCGTCACAAGTGTCAACTCAGTTTTTCTTCATGCAAAATAATTAATAATAGTGATAATTTTAGAGTAAAGTCGTTTTTTTACAAAAAAATAGTTGCAATTTTATGTGTTCTTTATTTCCTGTTATTACACTTTTTTATTTAATCTTGGAAAAACATGTCAACTAATGTGAGAAAATTTCGTTTTCCTCGTTATATTTGACACTTGTGACCTCGTGTATAATTGGTCCATTTCGCTGTTGCCACCTATTGTACTTGATAATCTATTTGAATGTACCTTTCATTCTACCCTTCGAGGACATATTGGAGCTAGAGGGAAGAATGGCATTGTCGTATTCCTAATACCAAGTATTTTAGAACTGTTTATTTGTTCAAATTGGCTAACAAACATTTGAGGGGGACATTTTTGTATCATTGTTAAATCTTTGTCATTTCATTCCCCCCTCGACGTTTTATTCCCCTCTCGACGTTTTAATACCCCCTCGACGTTTTATTCCCCCCTCGACGTTTTATTCCCCCCTCGACGTTTTATTCCCCCGTGACGTTTAAATCCCCACTCGACGTTTTATTTCCCTTTCGACGTTTTATTCCCCCTCGACGTTTTATTTCCCCTCTCGACGTTTTATTCCCCCCTCGACGTTTTATTCCCCCTCGACGTTTTAATCTCCGTCGACGTTTTATTTCTCCTTCGACGGTTTATTTCCCGCTCAACAGTTCAACGAGAGAGGAGTGGCTGCTCTCAGGGTTGAAATGCTCCCAGGGTTTTGCCCAGGATTTTGGAGTTGCTCTCAGGGTTTTGAAGTAAAATGTGGAAATTTATTAATCAACAGACACAAAAGAAAATCGATGTCAAATTTAGAGCCTTCTACATGGCTCGCACTATACTAAAAATCCTTAAATTATTGAGATATCTAAGGAAAACTATGTTTTTTCTCAGTTCAAGTTCTCTTTCGTCATTTCTAGGAGTGTTTTGGAATAAATGCACATATTTATTATCTATTGCATGTTGTAAAATTTGATAGAAAAATTTAAAAATTATGAAAAAATTTGAATATTTTATATGATGCAACAAAATAAGAAAAATAATTTCATGATGGGTATTTTGTATGCATGCCTAAAAAGAACCGAGGGATATTGAGGCGGGGGGGGGGGGGGGGGGGGTGTTATATTTTTTCTCATCAAAAAAGGTAATAAATATCATATTTTAATTCTGCTTCACGCGATTAATTTTGATTTATTTCATTCCCTCCAAAATTTCCCAGATTTCCTGTTCACACTGGTCCGAGCATGCTATCTTCTTTGTGGGTTTAATAAACCGTGACCATTTCACCGCACGGACAACGTAAAAAATACTTCGAAAGCAGTCAAAGATTCACTTCAAAGTGACATTTTTGCAAAAGTACAATCATAAAAAAGTATTTAAAAAAATGGGCATAGATTACTTCTGGATTCTTTTTTACAGTTTCCACGAAGTGGTTTTAAATTGAGGCACAGTTTGCTCTCAGTTGGTTTTAAACCCTCAATCTCGACAGACTAACAGGTTTTACATTACAACTATAATGAATAGATTTCTGGGGGGGAGGGGGTGGAAATTAAGAAATATCGTTTCATCAAATTTTTCTTTTTAGATTTTCATCGGTAAAGAAACACCAAAATCTTGAAGATGGTTAAGGTATAAATTTTATAAGTTAATTGGTTTTTCGAATATTCTAAAAATTGTTATTTAAATTTGGAAAACTTTAAGCGCTCCCTCTATAAACAAACAAACAAAAAGGATTGTAAACAAATTTTAGACGATTAAAAGAAGCTGAAAATGAAGCTGATTAAGTTTAAATTAGTTCAATACAATTTAAAAGATACTCTTAGGACCCATCTATCGGAATAAAGATAACGTAACAAATTATATGGTACATAATACATAAGAGTAAATGTAATACTATGTCTAATGTCTTTGTATGCAATTATGGTGATATCATTCTTCCCTTTGTCATCTCTATACATAGTCCTTATATTATTATCCAACTTATTGTATTTAACATTTTTATTCTTGATATTATTATTATTATTATCATCATTATAATTATTATTATTATTATTATTATTGTTATTATTACTATTATTATTATTATTATTATATTTATTATTATTATTATTATCATTATTATTATCATTATTACAAGTATCATTATTATTACTATAACTACTATTACTATTATTATTATGTTGTAGCTGCTATTAGTTCTGTTTGTAACGTGTGCCTACTCCCTACCTAAACCAGATGCCCAGGTATTTTCATTTGTTTTCCTTATATCTTGTTTTTTTTTATCAAAAACATAAAAAATGCTTTTTTTCAATTTCTAATTGTTCTAATAAATAGACAAAAATATTTCTTACAAAATCCTTGTTCCCACACTTTATTTTTTTTTTATTGATTTAAAAAATTTAGTTTTTACAGTATTTTTGATAAACTTGTGATCTTTTTATTAAACATTATTATACTGAATGGATAAATAGATAATGAATGAAGGATGAAAGTCCTTGATTTATCTTAAAATGTACACATCCTTTGGTCCTCTTTTGGATATGTTATAGGTCCCCAGTTGTATTTTTTTATAGTCTTAAAAAAATATTAAGTCCCCGAAAAGCCGCAGAAGAAAAATCTTATTTTTGACTCATATATATATATGTATATATAAATATATATAATTTGTGATGGCTTTTATCTTGTATCTGTTAATAAACATGGTTTTCTATAAAGGGGTTCTATTCAGTATATATTTATTAGAAATATATAAATATATAAATATATATATATTATAGCTCCCTTTTCATTCAATATTCCTTATATGCATTATTCATAAGTCCCAAACAAACTGGCAGGGCGAATCCAGATAAAGGTACACGAGAATGTATTATACAGCAAACAGGGTGAACCGGAAAAAATTAGAAAAACTTTAATCATATGATTTAAAACTAATCAGTATGAAAACTCTGTATTCTATAAAAAGAAACCTGCATCCTATAGAAATATCTGTATTATATAGAAACCCCAGCCCTGTATTCTCAAACTAATCTGTATTTTATTGGACGTTCTGAAATCTAAAGAAAACAGAGTTGTCTATAGAATACAGGACGTTCTTATAGAATACAGGGTATTCTTAAAGAATACAGGGTATTCTTATAGAATACAGGGTGTTTTATAGAACACAGTGTGTTCTTTAAGATACAGAGTGTTCTGTACAATAAAGGGTGTTCTTTACAATACAGAGTGCTCTATAGAATACAGAGTGTTCTGTACAATACAGAGTGTTCTATAGAATAAAGGGTGTTCTATAGAATACAGGGTGTTCTATAGAATACAGGGTGCTCTATAGAATACAAGGTGTTCTATAGAATAAATTTTCCTGTAGAAAGAGTGTTAGAGTGTTCTGAAGAATAAGGTATTCTTATCAGAATACATGGTTTTCTATAGAATTCAAAGTGTTTGATAAAAAAATCCTGTTTTCTGTATAATGCAAGAGTTTTCTATTGAAAACCCTGTTTTCCATGGAACACTCTAGAATAAAAGTGTCTACTACAGGGTGAGGAAGAGTATGTTGCATCTGAAACTGCCCAGCAGGTTGGAGAAACCCTAAATAAACTACCATCTATACTCAGGTAAACCACGTCTAATTAAAGTAAATTTCACGTTCCATTGAAATATTAAATCTTTTCAAAAATAACTTCTCTTATCGAAAAACTATTGAAAATGAACGAATTGTTTTGAATTTTTATTACGTAACCGAATAGGTTGATTTTTCTCATTCTTGTGCAATAACTGATAACTATATGGAGTTACAAGGTCACAAAGTCGCATCAGTAATAACGCTTTAATTTAACCTCCACTTTCTGTCTAGTTTCCATTGAAAGGAAACGATTACTCGACACAAAAACTAAGTTTCTAATCTCTTGATGTTTGGAACCTGATGTTATATACTTTTGATATTTATAGGTATCAAATTTCTTAAACGTTTAAAAATAAAAAGGTTTACACCATCAGTATAAAGAAATATGAGGAGCAAACGTACAGTTTGTGGAAAGTAATCATTTCCATTTAATTTTTCTTCAATATATACAGGTTTTCTAAATATGGGTAAACAGATAGGATTATAGATGTAAAACGAGATTTTAAGATCTAAAGGGCATTAATGCTAGACATTTTAGATACGTTTATTTCTCACGTGTTATTCGTACTTTTATTTGGGGCCACTTTGTAACTGGAATTCTGAACTATTTAGGCCTTACCTACCTCTTTCAAAGGAGCCGGGGGCAAACCTGCAAAAAGAAAAACATCAAAGAATCATTGCCGCTTGCGCTATTGTATATGTTGAGTGTAATCTACATAATAAAACAAAACATTCATATTTTTGTTGCCTATAGCCGGCCAAACCAAATATTTTTTTTCAAATTTTTTTCCACGGGCAAAGCCCTGCCCTTCAGCTATTAAATATTAAATATCTAGAAGATGCCTTGCTTGCCATTGACAACAGGAAACCTTTTAAACAATTTCCATTCTTTGTATACTTTGTATAGAGCGTTTTACATATATTCTAAAAGTTTCGAAATGCATAAAATATTATGTTGATAAAAATTATCCAAATTTTTTGTTAATTTCTCTTTTATTATAGAAAATACAATTTCAAATTATGAGAAACATCTAAGATTTGTACAGTAGTTTTTAAACGTAAAACAATTTTCTTTTAAACGAACTTAAAATAATCAACCTGAATATAAGCTAACTTCTTATTAAAATTAAGTTAATCCTAAACAAATGAAAAAGAAAAGTTAAACTGAAGCAAAATCTAACTTATCCGTATTTTAGATTTAAACTTTGATCTAAATATAACATTTCTTCTAAAGCAGATTATCTCCAGTTGAAATTATACTTTTAATAATAAAGACACTGTTGATAAAATATAACCCTGAAAATAAAGGAAGTGCTGAAGAAGTAAGATCTTGACCTGTAACAAAATATATTAGATATTTTAGGGACTTATAACGATACATATTCTTGATATTAAAGGGACTGTACGCGTAATTTCAAGTGACCCTCCATTCAAAGAAGATAATGCCCTATTTACAACGGTTCCCTTTAAACCTTAGTCTGCTTGTCGAGTTAAGAAATATACGTGTTTATTTATATCGAAAAAAGTTTTGATTCTTGAAAGGAACCGGTGTACAATGCGTACAGAGTGTAATTATAGTGTTCCTTGAAATTACTGACGAGTGATTTTTAAAGGCGGTTTAAAAAAAGTTCGAAAGAAAAAATCTAATTTCTAGTTTTTAAAGTGAATAATGATATTTTATAATATATAACAGCTTGAAAACAAAGTGTTCTCAACAATTAAAAGAATTTTTGAAGATTGATAAGAATAAATCCGACAACATTGAGTGTACTTTGTGAATCGACACCAGTCTACAAATGAGGGGGCACTTTAAATTACGCCTTTTAAGGGACTGCTATCAAAATAGTCTGTATGTTTAGTAAGACTGCAGAATGGATCCGTGAGCTGGCTAATATTGGAGATGAGGTTCATCCATCTGTTGGATCTGTTATCAGAGATGGAGCTGATTCGGTAACATTTATCCATCCTTGGATTTAATGAACAGATATACGTAGTTAAACTACTTCTTATATCACCCTGGATTATTTATTTGAATTCAATCTTTAATTTACCAATCTTTAAATTTACAGAGTTATCTTTTTTATTTAAACGCATATGCTAACAAAAAATTTAATAAGATAATGCGCGATTTTTTGTTTAATAGTTTAAACGTTGATCGAAAATGCATATTCCAAGGACCGAACTGTTAAATCTGCGAGATGTACATTCCCAACCACACTAAAGAAGATTTATTTTTAGTACAGTGAAACCCTTAATAACGAATACATCGGAAGAATTTATAAAATGTCGTCTTGACAATTTTTCAATGAGTTTTATACTATATTACGCAAATTTCAGTATTTGCAAAAATAAATAAATAGCCATGAATATGCGGGAACAGTTTTAATGAGTTCCATATAATAATTTAATTAAAAAACTAAATATCTGCAACATTCCATTATCAGAAAGTGAAGAATACGACATTTGATGAATTTTTTCGATGTATTCGTTATTAAGGGTTTCACTGTAATTAGTTCAACTATTTCTTGCTATTCATTAATTCCAATCTCAGGAAAATTAAATCTAAACTTTACTTAAATAATTTTCCTTTGATCTATTAATTTTATTTCAATCTTGAATTAAGGGTTGGAAAAGTGAATAAAGAAGGAGGTTTTCGTAAAATTTAATTCATATTTCTTTGTTTATCGGAAAAAATTCTGAACAAGATATGTTCTGGAGTTCCTTGGTTCTTTTCCAAAATTTCTTTCAGTTTTAGGTTTTACAATTGAAGTATTTTTTTTTTTCCTAAATTGACTTAAATATACCTCTAGGTTGTTAAAAACTTTGAGGAAACTTTTTGTCCATTTATCCTGCACACTTTCAACAAGAATTTTTAAACTTTGAATTTGCTTAAGTAGGGATAGGATAGATAGATAAAAAGATAAATAGGAAAGGATTTGTGTGATTTTTGCAAAGATTTATCTGAAGAACAGATAGGACATATATTACACAGATAGAACGTGATAATAACCTTTCAGTGTGTCGTTAGTTCGAAACTTATGTGTAAAACAGAGCTATAACCTACATTGCTTAACCTCGATATCCACCATGGATATCTACGAGGAATTAAATTAAAACGTAGAACTCCACAAGATGCAGCAAACTGCATAATCCCAATTTACAGTATTCGCAATACAAACGTTTTGTCCTCTGGCTGTATCAGTGTAAACTGGAACAAGATTTGATCTTATAATCAAAACTAGCAAAGCACCTTAACTATCTTTAATAGCAAATAAGAAAAATGCTTTTAATAAGATAAATTCAACTAAATTCGCCAAATAAGATAAAAAGCGTACTTTTTTACACTAAATAGAATTGAAAAAAAAATTTAAAGGTGAAATGTTGTCTTCATCATGCCTTCAAAGAAAGTGGTCCATTTAAGAAAAAAAACGCTATTTCTGACAAAAGTCAACTTTCTAAGCCTGTAACGAATTGGTGTGATAGATTTTGTCAAAAAAACCCGTTTTTCATTGCAATTAAAGACGTTTTATAAAATTATATAACATTTGTTTTTCAGTCCTAAATGAAACTAAATTTATTAAATTCATTGGCATTTAAGTTTTCACCAAAATTGCCTAGAAAAATTGCTATTCATGCGACGCCAATAAAACTTCTAAAAGTTTTCTCCAGATTAAATATCCAAAATCATACAAATCATCTTGAAAATATTACTCAAATCCAATTTTAAAAAGATGAGATATTTTATTGATTGCCATGCACGAAGTGAAAAACAGTCTTGAGAAAATCTAATTGAAAAGTTTCTGATTATAAAAATTACTTTCAAGTAAGCATCAACATATTAATATATTTCTTGTTGATCTCAGAGACATCTAGTGTTGGTAAAAAGATTTGAAAAGTTAAACCTAGTTTAAAGAAAGCTAGAAATATTTGATATTTTGCCAAGATATCGGGGAAACTATAAACGGAAAAGGAAAGCAAGTACTACTCATGCTTTTAACAGCAAAGCTTTCTTGAGGAATTTTGACTTGACTAAATTTAAGAAATGACAGCACATGTAACCATGGAACCCATGCATGTACATTGTACATTGAACATTAAATTGCAATGGCGCACATAAGTTTAAAAACCTAGTCTTCAGTTTTAATTTATCAATAATGCATACAGTGGGACCCATAAAACTGTGATATAAGAAGACGACTGTTTGATTTAAAGGTAGTGTTTGCGAAAAACAAAAGGAGGTATAGGCTGATCCCGAAAAGAATTGGATATCGAACGCTAATAATTTTACTTTTATCTTTTGCGTCTATAAGGAGAAAATGGTTTAAAACGACTCATACCGAAGAGCGTATAGACCCTTACAAATTAAATTATCTACTGTCTGGGTAAAATATTGCAACTCTGTTGATTTGTTTAAATGTTAAATAGTTTTATGGGATCCACTGTATATATTTTATTGTAATAACTTCCTGATTTCCAGGTTAAGATTGCCTCTGACAATGTACCAGAAGATCTAGATGTTAAAGTTCAAACCCATCTTAGACATCTTATTGATATTGCCAAGAAGATTCAGGTATGATGCAGTGCAGATCATAATTCTTAAACCTGAAAAAGGTTGACCAAGGTTGACCAAGGTTGACCAAGGTTGACCAAGGTTGACCAAGGTTGACCAAGGTTGTCCAAGGTTGACCAAGGTTGACCAAGGTAGGCTAATGTTGACCAAGGTAGGCCAATGTTGACCAAAGTTGACCAAGGTTGACCAAGGTAGGCCAATGTTGACCAAGGTTGACCAAGGATGAACAAGGTTGACCAGGTTGACCAAGGTTGACCAAAGTTGACCAAGGTTGACCAAAGTAGGCCAGGTTGACCAAGGTAGGCCAATGTTGACCAAGGTTGAACACGGTTGAACAAGGCTGTCCAAACTTGACCATGATTGACCACATTTTCAAAAAAATATTCTTATCTTATGTTTTATCTCTAGGTTGAGGTTAAGACCGGATTGACTAAGGTTCCTGAGTTAAAGGATAATCTTAATGGAACACTAATAGAGTCTTACGTAGAGTAAGTATAACGTTTTTCTAACATAAATAGTTGTGTTTCACATAAACACCAAATTAATTTTAATACAAGAAACAGAAATAGGGTTACCCCCACTAATGATGATAACAAGAAGCTAGTTAAAGACAATACAGTGTATTTCTGTAAAATGATTTTTATGTATAAAGAGAAATCGGTTAAAATTTGCAGATTCTGTACAGTCGTCTTCTTTGTTTCATCCTTCAGGCACTACAGCAATTGCGACATTGCAAAAAAGTATTTTAAAAAAGGTTTCAGGACATTTTTTGCCTCTTCACGACAGTTCATACAAAGGCTACAAAATGGCTTTTAAGAAACAAATTAAAAAAATTATCTACTTGAAAGCGCATTTTTCAAAAACTTATTTACAGAGATGTGGTTGATAGTGTTCCATCTGCTGAGGAGGTTGATGCTAGAATATCTGATGCTATCAACTAGTAAGAAAATCATTATACCTAACAAACCGTAAAGTGTCCTTGATAAAACATTTTCACTCTTAAAAGCTTTTCTACTGCAGGAAAACATTATAGGAATTTTAAGAATTAAGCCCTTTTTAACCTAGAAAAACGACAATATCTTCCACATTATAGACCAGAAATTGGTTTCAAGGGTATAGTTGTGAATCTGGCATTGCCATATGTACATGGAGTCATATGAAATTGCACTTAGTTCTACTAAACCACTTGAAAACAGTATACTTCTAAAATCATCAAATAAAAACTGTTTTAAGGTCACTTCCAGATTTTAATCATGAAAACAATTTTTCGTTCAAATATAGAAACAAAATTAATGAAAAGAGCAGGTGTGGCAGGTGTGGCTGCAATGATTATCAAAATCCTTCAACCATCGCAATCTGTACACTCATCCCCATTCATAAAATAAAAACATATGATTCATTACTTATAATATTCATACAGGTAGGGTAGTCCCAATAAACATAATCTTTTTATACAGTGGTAGGCAATTTTATCAATACAATGAAGACGATTTTTTAAATTTAGTTTTGATTCTTAACATGCTTTTTTCGAATTACATGTAATCAAAGACGGTTTTTTAATTGACATCTTCTATTGACTTCTATGTTAATGTGTATCCATACTGTTTAACAGATTGATAAATCAAAATTGAAACCGAAAGTCTTCTTCATGGTATTGATATATGCGACGACGACTGTAACTAGAATAGATTATAATATTATACCATCAAAATATTGAATCCCAGAATATTTTGGAGTTATTTAATGATTAGAATGAATCAATGATAATTTTTAATTAAACTTAAAACTAATTTAAATAATGAAAAATATTTTAATTAGTTTGGAGCCACTTGCAGAGGCCCTGGCGGTACAGAACTCCAATACTACAACAGTGGCTTGATTCGTGTACGCTGTATAGCTTTACAGTGTTTTCATGTACAGTCAACTTTTATGTACACTGTACCCAATTCTGTACCCTAAAGAAGGGGCCGCATTATTTTACAATGGTTTCAAATTTTCATGTATTCAAATTTTGTAATTAATCAATAAATCAAATAAATGAGGTAAAAATTAATAAACTTAATACGGACTTTTTTGTGAGCTTTTATCAATTGAAAAACACAATGATCGGACAAATATTTTTGGTTAGTTTTCGATTAAAATTTCTTCTTTTATATACAATTTTGTATTTGGAAAACTTTACAAAAAGCCTTGAATCACATTCATCTGTCTGTTCGGTCCTTGTTCCAGCAAGCTGTGCCTTTGATCCCAATTTGACCAATTAGCATAATTTTTCTCCTTTTGTACTTTTTTAGTCGGTTGCTGCATTTTGAATTAAATAGTAGAAAAATATTTTGTTTAAAGATTGTTAAATTACAGACCAAAATGAATTAAATTCAATAAAGTTAATAATTAAGATTAATATATCTATTACATCTTGTAAAAAGTATGTACTGTGCATATACTACAATGATAGCTAGAAAACAGGGGAATCATAATTAACATTGTATTTTTTCTTTTTCTAATGAAATATCGCTAATGTTTTGTGAAATCTAAGACTGATTTATTATAAAAAATGTGCCGGTAATCGTATATATATAAACCTCACAGTCCATGACAAAAATTCATAATAAAAAGAAAGATCGGAGACGACAGTCATTCTACATTTTCTGGTTATAATTCAGTATAAAGAACAATTCACATTTTGTGAACCAACTGTTCCCTTGTATCTCCAGCAACTATCTCCTAAGTGTACAAGAAACCAATTGTTCTACTCCCATGTGTGCTGTAAACCCTCCTCTGCAGTTTTAACTTTACCCATATTAGACTTCAAACCAACAGAAATTAGCTCATTACACAGCGCTCTATTGAACCATAGTTCTTAAACTGGGAAATATAAAAACAATAGCCAAGGGCGGCCGGCCAGAGGGAACATATAAATGAATATCTTGTTTTATTATATAGATTAGATTTTAATTTCTATAAGTAGCAGAAAATAAATATTCACTTTCGTTTTCTTTAAAACCGCTTTAAACGTACTAATATCGGTATTATCACGAAGACGCTCTGTAAATTGAAAGAGTTATGAATTATACATAGAACACAAGGCGATTATATTCAAATTGAAGAAACCAAACGCATCTATATCTCAGGTTTTATATATAAGATATTTATTATATATAACAAATCCAATACAGGAGAAGAAAAATTGAATATATTGAAAGAAAGACATGCCAGTTGATGACAAGAACATAATAGAACTGGAGGATAGAACAATGTCCAGGAAAAAGAGAAGATTTACTAACAAAAGAGAAAATATTGGAATTGGACGATAGTTCATGAGCAGAAAAATGCCAAACTTCTTTTTCAAAAATATAAAAAGAATGAAAAGAACTGAAGGTTGAATGAATGTCAAATGGTCAGAACTTTTGTGTTCTTAATCTCTGGATATTATAGCATTGATCTATATCTTATTCAGAACCGATATCCCTTAGAGCTCATACCCCTGCACACATTAATTTCACTAGAAGGGGATAATTAATTCATTTGGCCTACAGTCCCGTTTTGTCTCATATCAAAATCAGCAGAATAAAAATGAACGAAATTAAAAAATTAACATTTAATGAAAGTGAAGGGAGAGCTAGAATAGTTTAAGGAAACAAAGAGAAAATATATGAACAAAAGGAAATACGTAGAAAATAAAAGAAATGAAGAGAAGAATAAAAAATGGTTTATCTCCTCTTGTCGGGTTGGGTTGGATGCAGGTTCAGATTTGAGAGAGAGTCTCCGAACTTCTGGTAAAATTCTCCGAGTTCTCTTAGTTACTCTTCACCCCTTCTCTGCATATACTCGGGTAGGACATCTGTGGTAAAGGTGCATATAGGAGGTATTACCACCCTCGAACCTTCTATCGAACCTTAAACATATTTACTTGATTGATAGACCTGAGTAAAATAAGTGTTCACTATGGTTTATAGGGTTATCCATAGTCAAGTTTTTAAGACAACGGCACAACACAAAACGTTGGGGGACTTCAAACTGATCTTGAGCAAAACAAAATAATAGAAATACCTTGATAATAACATGGAAATAGAATTATTGATATATCGTTGTATTTGTATGCGCGAGCTTGTGTCCACACCCCTTAACCAAAATAAATTATTAAAGTTAAAAACTTGATTGATAGAAAAATCTCATATTCTCAAATATATTTATGAAAAATTGTACCATTCACTCTGGGAAATGTCAAATTTTCATCTAACTGGTTGAAGCACCTGAGCCAAATTTAACTTCACAAGTCTTCAAATTTTGTTTAATAAAAAGGTCATTGAAAACAAAATTAAAGAATGTTAAGTTAAATTTTGCTCCGGTGCTCAAACAAATTTGTATATGAAAAGTTGACATTTCTCAAAGATAATTTTACAAAAATACAGGTTTTCCTTTAGAAACATTAAATTTTCTACTATTTTAAAAGAACTATTATATATAAATACGTATTATGTAGTTTTTAAAATGCCAAAGGTTGAAAACAAATTCGTTTGACAAAAATTTTGATGGCTTATTAAAGATTTAAAAAAATGTTCGTAATATAAAATAATATTTTTTAATAAGTATCAATAAGTATAGTTAGTTAAATTAATCAGATAACCAGGCCAATCAAGATACCGTTCGTTTTCAACAGAGAACTGAACATTTAGTTAATGGGAGTGTTTGAGAAAAATTAAAGGGGGTGTAGGCTTTCAGCAAAAATAATCGCTTTTGATCGCTAATAATCTTACTTCTATTTGTTGCATCTGTAAGGAGAAGATTGTTAAAAACGACTAATACTGAAGAACGTAGCGTCCATACAAATTCACAAAGTTGCAATAAACGACGGCGTAATTTTGTGTAATTTCTACAAAGCGAAATTTTTCATAATTATGCGTATTTAGCGAAACTTCAATTTCGCTAAATTACGTCGTCATTTTGCCAAATTCTGCAATTATTGTGCCTTATTAGATAAAATTTAAATTTCACATCATTACGACCAAAAATCAATCAATAGATAATTTATAAATTTTCTTTAATATTTAAAAACTCGTGAATGTTTTATCATAATTCATAATTAATCCTAATTTATTCAGGTAAACCCCAATACTTTTCAGTAAAAATGCAATGTTTCCGTAGATTATTATAACAGAAAATATAAAATAAAAATCCGTCAGTCCTGTAAGTAAAACTAAATGAAGAACTAAGAAAATATTTGAAATGGAAGTAAAACATTGTTTGGTCTAGTTTTTTAATTAAGAATTTCCGAAAGTTACAACGCTGCATGCATTACTGAGAATTATTAAGTACTTTACTAATTACGGAATGGTTTTGTATTACGTAATTTCGCGTAAATACGCCTCTATTACGCGAAACTAGACTTTCTTTCGTATACGTAATTAACACGTAATTTCGCGTAATGCCCGTGCGTAATAGAAAGAATTCGTTATTACACGTAACGCAATTTGTAATTACAACTGGAAACCCTATTTATGGGGTAATTTTTTACGGAAAACAATTGTTGACAATGAAACTATAGTTCAGAGCTGTCACCGGAGAATGTAAAACTTTATCGCAAAAATATCAAAATATCAAATGCCAAATGACCAAATGCCGAATTATACAGTACAAAGCTAGAAATGTAAACAAATCAGAGAAAAATTATAACAACTGATCGTACTGCATTGTTCATCTCAAAACCGGTTAAATTTCAACAACAAAGAGAAAACAAAAAGGAGACGATAAGAGATAAGAGAAGAGAAGAAAAGAGATAAGAGAACAGAAGAGTAGAGAAGAGAAGAAAAGAGATAAGAGAACAGAAGAGTAGAGAAGAGAAGAAAAGAAAAGATAAGAAAAAAGAAAGAAGAAAAAAAGAAGAGAAGAAAAAAATATATGAAAAAATAGAAGAAAAAAAGAAGAAAAGAGAAGAGAAGAAAAAAGAAGAGAAGAAAAGAGAAGAGAAGAAAAGAGAAGAAAATAGAAGAGAAGTGAAAGATGAAAAATAGATAACGTGAAAGAGAGAGCTTACATTTTACAGACGTTTTTTCAGAAAAGTATGTTTATAAATACCTTAAACTTTAAAATTAACTTTGTTGTAAAATTGTGTGATATTTTTGAAAAAAATAGTTGTCCTAACTGTTTAGCGTACATTTTTTTGATCATTCAAAGATGTTTGATCATTTGGCATTTGATAATCTAATATTTTTGCACTTTAGTCCTTATTCTTAATTCTTTAACTCCTTAGAGATGAGATAGTTTAAAAGTAAGAATCTGAACTGGATTCAAAATATCTCAATCTGTAAACTACTTTTGTTTTAAGGATAAAGTTGGACATTCTAGTCGTGAAAAAACTCCCAGTTATACTCTGAATATGAGTACTGCATGTTTTTGCAATAACTGCAATCCACATTTTTTTCAAATAAAAGTTTTGTGTAATACTTTTAAATCTAACCTTTTATGTCCTTATTGTAGAATTTATGATTTAATCCCAAAAAAAGTAAAAAATATTTTAAAAATATATTTAATGTATTTTTTTGTGTCGCGTGACTGGTTTAAACAATTTGTCCGAAACTGACAGAAGTAAAACAATTTAACTGTTGGCTGAAAATTCAATTTTCACAATTTTTCTTTCTTTCTTTTATTCATTTTGAAACTTTAAGAAGGGCGACAAATTTTCTTAGACTTTTACAAGTCGAATATTATTATTCATTAATGTGTATTTTCCATTTCTGGTGGGAATTATGATATTATCCTTTGAAATCAAATTATAGCATTTATAGATGCACAAAAACTGTAAAATGTAGATATTTTAAACTCTTTAAAATCCAGGCAATACATATATATAAATACTAGTAGTAACAGAAGTAAGGAAAGGTTAATTCAAGAAATTGAGTCTTGGCCACAAATTCTTAATTTTCTAAATCTAATTTCTTTGTAACCCAATGTCACAGACTTTATAATATTTCAAACTAAGATTCGGTTACATCAAATTATCTTAGATGAAAAATTAAAAGTCTTCAACATCAGGTTGCAAAGAAATGGAGATTACAAATTTGAGTTTGTGGCAAAAACATATCTCCTCAGATTACATTTTACCGTGACGTAACAGCTGAGGAACTAGTTTTACAACCGTGACAAAGTAACCAATTTTTATTAATACGTCACAAAAGAATGTAACTAAACACTTTTCTATTCTTCTACTTCCATATTTCAACACAAAAACATTTTAATTTCTTTATTAATCTTTCAGAATAATAAATGGTTATTGGTATCGGGGAGAAGAATGAATAGAGTATTTTCTGTGATGTGGAAAATGGATTTCATGTTATTTAAAATGTGTTTAGATTGAAACGAAGAATGATTATTTTTCAATCTCTTCTGGTTGTCGTCTTTTGCGGTCGATTGGCAACAGGCAAGCATCCATTAAAAAATCGACGCACACATTTTAGTAAATAGCTGTTAATGACATTTGGTAGGGGACATGTACGGTGTACAGCCAAGCCCCGCAATACGCCCCTTCTACCCCCCCCCCCCTCCCCTGTAAGTTTCTTGGACATAATTTTTTCCTACATACCTTTTAAATACTTATCACTCTTTTTAATTTCGTTCACATTTTAAATATTTTCGCAACTTGATTCTTTATCTCTGTAATATCTTATAACGTTGGTTGTTTTGCTCTCACAAAAGCTTAAAAATTTTAACAAATTATCATACAAACATTATGTTAGAAAAGTCACGTGGTCTGGGTTATTTACAAAAGACGAGCTGCAGATCTCTAGAAATACTCGGTCTTGTGCAGGAAATGTATTTTAAAAAGAAAAAAAATATAGTAAAATAAGAACTGACATCTGTACAGTGGTTTTTTTTAGCGTCAACCTTTGTGACTTAAAGCGGCGTCACAAGTTCCAAAATACTTTTCACGACGTAAAATAACTATCTTTAAGTATGACACATGCCTAAATCCATCTCCAATAATTGATGATTCCTAATGAAAACGAATTGGCACTAAGTATGCACTTTAGATTTATCCAATTACTCTTCAAACAAATATGGAAATTACACTGATTAACACAGAATATGTTATATATCGATATTGGTAACTAACCTAGTTACCCTTTGGCAGACTTCATTTTCAAACAGTTCTTAAGATAATCTTAAACTTAAGCTATGAATTACACTGTATTATTAAATTTAAAACAATGTGCTGGCGCGCCTTTCTTATAAAAATTTCAAATCAAATCAAATCAAATATTTATTGCACGAAGATTAGAATTTATACAATATAAATATCACATAGAAAAGTATAATCCTCGTGAGGGAAAATTAATCTGGGGGGGCCAGGTTTTCATAATTTTCCCCATAGCTTAGTGACAGGGGGGGGGGGAACCTGGACGAAAGGACGAGTAGGTGGGGTGGCAGAAAATATAAATAAACATGATAATAGACAATATATTGCTTAGCTCTATCAAACCAATACAGTAACAAACATTACAAATATTTAATTTAGAATAATTAAAATGGATGAAATGTTTGAAGGAAGACATATCCCATTTTTAATACTGCAAAGAGATAATGTATATCAGAATATACATGACATTCAAGTTTTAAGTTTAGGTGAAGAAAGAGATGTACATACATGAAAGGTTGGAATTTTAAAATCTAATTATCTAGTGTTTAAACAACAAGGACACAATAGCCTTTCACAAGTGAACCCCTGTAATTTATCAATAAGAAAGGCTTTAGAGACAGATTTAAAAATATTCTTAGATTCAGACTGCTTAATTTCAACAGGAAAATTATTCCATGCGGAAGGAACAGATACAAAGGGGAATCTTCTAAGAAATTCAGAACAAAAATAGTATGTTAATGTCGACATATATTTCCGGACAAATTTTTTAATTTTGATGGTTCAAATTGCGAGTTTATTGGATACAAACAAACAGACAGACAAACATCAAAGTATATATTTAAAGATTTATATATATAAAGATTTTGACTAAGTTCTGATTTAATTTTAGTTGCATGTATTGAATGAACTTTGCCGATGCAATACAACTATTTGTACTTTTCAATCCTTTAATTTAAAATTTAAATTAAGTAAATTCAAACTTAACCTAAACGTGTGCACTTTTGGGGATTTTCTTCAACAAATTTTTTTTTTATTCCTATTTTATATACTCATATAATTCTGCTAAACAACCCCTAACTATGTTCTAGATTAACCCTATTCAGATTCCTATCCCCCCCCCCATTCCCAATCAGTAGACCTTGAAGGCAATTCTTCCCCCCTGTTTTTTTATACACATATTGTATATTAATCAGAACAGAAAAAGAATTAGGAAATAAAGTGTCCCGATACTTTATTTGATTTTAGAATTATAAAACTTTTTTTACTAAGCCCAAAAGAACTTAATCAGTTTCTTTCTAAAGAAGATTTTGTTAAAATTTCTATCTTGTTTTTTTGGACACTATTGTATTGAGATTGATCTTGTTATAGATTAACTATAGTCACAATATAAATAAATATGTTATAAGATTAACTACCAACATTGATATTAGAAAATACAAATATAATGAAAAAGGATTTGTTGTTTATATAAGTCTGTAGAGAAACATCACAACAAATTAACTTTAATAGAAAATAATTCACATAATAATACATCTCATAATTTTATTTTCATTTGTTAATTTTCAAAAAAAGAAACCTAAGAAACTTTCCTCAAATTCAAATTTTACACGCCCTATATCTTTGCAACCTGAAGAAGTAAAAGAATTATATTTTAAACTTAAGGTCTATCTGAACTTACAGTATAAAATCGAAGGTCTACGACGTCAGGGTGCAAAGATATAAAGTTTAGAAGATCAGAATTTATAACAATAACAAGCGTTTAGGTCTTTTACAGAAGTATTTTTTGTATTCTAAATCATCTTTCCATTCCGAGTTATTATGGGGACCACTAACGTTAAAATTATGGATGACATTGACAGGGTTGAGTCCTGTCCCAAGGAACTTTGTAGCCTCTGGTTGTGGATCTATTAACCTAGACTGCCCTCTAGGAATCTTACATTCAAACACAAAATCAAGAATAGAGTTATGTTGCATGCACTTTAGTGGAAGAGATTTGTTAATTTAAAATTTATATTAAATCTAAGACTTTTGTGATCTTCTACTGGTTGTAAGAATATTGGGATTAAAAACTAAATCTAAATGTAAGAATATTTGGATCTAAAATTGGTTGTAATGGTTTTAAAACTGGAATTAAATGTTAGAGCATTCCGATCTAAAGCTGGTTTTAAATGTAAGAATATTGGGATCTAAAGCCGGGTTTAAAACTGGTTTTAATGTAAGAATATTGGGATTCAAAACTGAATCTGAATGAAAGAATATCTGGATGTTAAACTGGCTATAAATGTAAGAATATTGGGATCTGAAACTGGTTGTAAGGGTGAGAATATTGGGTTTTTAAAACTGGAATTGAATGTAAGAATATTGGGATCTAAAACCAGGTTTAAAACTGGTTTTAATGTAAGACTGGTTTTGAATGTAAGAATATTGCAAGGTTCTCTGTTAGTAGTCCTACAGGCTTCCTTTACCCCTGGCAATCAATGCAGTTTAGGATCTCAGGCCCAGGTCATTTTTTCTATACATTTAGCTAATTTCAGTTAATTTTTGTGTATTTTTCAACTATTTACCTGTGGAAAATCATTTTATTTATTTTTTGGAAAATGTAATTAATTTAAGTAACTATTTACCTGTCAGTATATTGTTTAATAAATAACAGTAAACACTAGAACCTTCAGATGAGAAGAAATTACTATTTTCTAGAATATATAAAATCAATAGCAAAGAGTTTATCCACTTTCGGACATGACTTATAAACATGAAAAAAATGTATTATAAGTTAAAAGTTCTATGGCAATTCTACGCTTCTTAAAGTCTGCCAAAAGTTTGTTATTTCAATTTTAAGAAAGTTTAGAACAACAATGTTTGTTAATTAAATAGTTGTTTCTTCAATTTTGTAATTAATGTTTATTCACTATTCATTTTCCAATAAAAAACTTGTCATTACTTATCCTGAGTGGTGCTCAAATAGGTTTTATGAAATTGACAGTTTCTAATCAAAGGTTAAATAGGAGTGAGATGAAGTAGTTAAACGAGCCCATAGTGTTTGAACTACGTCTGCGTAGTTTACCTACTACTTGCTTTCCTTAAACCTGGTCCCAGGTTGCAAAGATATAAGGAATTTTAAAAATAATATATTAAGGCGAGTAATCAGATCCTTTGGGTCTATTTGACTTATTAATTGTTTAGTTGGAGGATAACTGGTATATCTGGGGTAGTGTTGTATCCCGTTGTAACGGATATAGAGATGGTTCCTGTTCATACAACCTGGCTTTAGAGCTACCGGAATCAAGGCTCTGGGGAGACGGAAGAATCGATGTAAAATTCAGGTTTTAAATAACATAATGTACTTTTAATGATAATACAATTTCACATAAAAATATGTAAATTCCTTCCTTGTCTTTGCTGCACAAATCCGCAAGTGTCTAAACTAAAAAAAATAAAGGTTTAAAGGTTACCGCCTCACTTTAATCACGGCGACAATTCCTTTATTTTGTATTTTTAATGTCCTAAGGCCGAATTAAAAAAATTTGAGCGGCGGTTTAAATTTAAGCCGCGGTTTAAATATGGTTGGTTCCACTTAAAATTGTATCAAATGTTTCAAGATTTAGGCCGGCGCTTAATTAAAACCGGGTTTTGGCGGATTTAAACCGCGACTCAAATTCTTTAAATTCCATCTCAGAAATTATATTTTTCAACGGAACCGTTAAATCTTTTTCAAAAAAAAATGACAGAGAACTTGTCGGCAACTTAAATATTTTTAGTTAAAATTGTTTTTTTTTGGAAAATGAATTTTTGAAATAATATTAAGATGTGAAACCAAGATTGCATCCTTCTGTGGAGGTAAACTGGACGTCAGCAAACCAGGTATAAAAATATTGCTAAATATATATATTATATTTATCATTTATATTTGTCTAAAGCAAAATTACATTAAACAATATAAAAGTTTACAAACTAATACTCTTTTCTCTGGATATCGCATTTTATAATTGACAGGGTTTGCCAAAAAACAGGTGCAATACAAGACTTTTAGCATGAGTATAGTTTAGCTATTCAGAGGTGGTTTTCAGGTATGGAGTTTCTTGGTCCCAGTCTAGTGTATTGCTAAATATTAGTTAATATGACATTTAATTGTAGATTTTTTTAATATGACATTTAATTGTAGATTTTTTTTGTAAAAACTATTTTTAAAATTCACCCCTGTTTTATCTATTTCTTCCATGTTATTTTGATTGGTGTGAATGTTCTTGATCCTTTGCACTGTGTATTCCCAGTGCTACCAAACAAACCATAGTAAATAATCTATTTTCTAAACAGGTAACATTTTAAAATGGACTAAAACCTTTATGCAAAAGGAAACAAATTGTATTTTTAAACTTATAGGATAAGATCTGACATGGTTTTAATCAAAACTCTTCTTATTGAAAAACAAAAATGTTTAGAATCTCTGATAAGAAGCTGCAGATAAATTTTCTTTTCCATGATTTAAATATTTATTTCTTTAAAGCAATTTAAGTTTCTGTATGTTGCAAACATACAGGGTTGCGTTCTTTTTACATAATTAACAATTGTGTATTTTCTTTTCTGATACTTGTTTGTAAAATGATAATATAGAGGAGCTACGAGGTCACAAAGTCCTACCAATACTTCTTTTCAGCTGTAGTGCAATTGTGTCTGTCTTTGCCAAACCACTTGGTATACCGACGAATAACTGAATTGTTTAAAATCCATCCTTTATAACGATATTTTAAACAGTTTTAGGTTGCAATTTAATGTCGTAGACCTTATTTCAAGCAATGAATTCTGTAAGACCAAATAATCTAAGTTAGAAATATAAAACTTTACACCATAAGGTTGCAACGATCTAGGATTAGATAAGTTGAGTTTGTGGAAAAAAACATGCCATTTGTATTCTGTTATTCCTGAAAATGGAAGTTTAAAAAAGCATAATTCAAATCTTTAATTTTCAATTTTTTATTTTAATACCTTCAAACTTTGATCAAACTTAACAGAAAATCCTGGAAAAAGTTTGAAAAGAAAGTATTGGCAATTAGTTCTAAAAATAAGATTGAATAGTTAGCTTATACTGATTAAAAGATACACGTCTTGTTCTCATAATTCTAAAGTTCTAATCAATTTTTATTCATTATTTTGGACTAAATTTCAACAAGTTGTAAAAGGATTGGATTAAACGAGAGAGGTGTGGGTGTAATATGAACATTGCTGTGAGTAATGTTCTAATATTCTATTATGAAGAATAAGCGCAGATATATTACAAACACCATTGACGCCCCTTGTTCCCCCATGATTTTGATAGGAGCATGTAAAAAGAGCATTTTTAACCAAGTGTAATTTGTTAGAGCTTACATGAGATGAAGAAAGACATTGTTCGGTCCGGGTTCAACAATTTTTTTAACATATTGTTTTTTTTCGAGCCCCTGTTGAAAATTAAGTATTTAAGGTATAAAGGACGGATAAATCACAAATTAAAACCGGACATCCAGTTTTCTCCCAAGACCAACTTTGTTGAAAAAGAAAGGAAATTTTAAAAGTGGTTCTTCGGGCTCTAGCATTATGAGGTTTGCATTTTTTATCTTCTTGTTTAAGTCTAGGTGCAATACATTATTAATGCAAAATACAGTATAAAGTACACACTTACTGTTTCGCTACTTAGCGATTTCCCTAAAGACCTAATATATGTACCGTGTGGTATTTCTCAGGATTGGATCGTAAGACTCCCTTCTCTCAACGCTCTTCATAATAAAAAGGAAGATAGTAAGGTTCCGAACGTTTATTTCTCTGAGCCTTCAATCTAAACAAGTTTAATAAACCCACAGAAAAAGCTTTGAGTGAAAATCATACAAATATAACAAATAATCCACTCAGGCATTAAAAAACTGTGGCTAGGAACCAATAAACGAATACATAATCATCAATCATACTAGAATCAACCAATAAACATAGATATATATAAAATAATTACCACGGTGATCCCAGAATTCTGAACACGGAAAATACTTGCAAAACGAATAAACATATACTGAATATAAATATAACTACTACTCCGCTAGAAATCTTGCGTCTGCGCAGTCGGACTGTAAACAGTTCCTAAACTAGTTTTTTCACAATACATTCCGTACAGATCTTCAGGAGAAACTCAGAAATACGCAGGGGCGACAAACAGACTTTCTTCACGCAGCATGGCTCGCGTAACACTTACACTTAAAGGATTACGATGTTGTATTTGCAAAGCTCAGGATTAGAGAGAATATATTTTTAAGTTAAAAATTTTACTCAATAGCACTTTAAAATAGCCTTTTTCGCATCGTCATGTGCACAAATGAGTTCTCGTAAAGAATGATTGTGGATAACATAGCAGGGGCTTCGCGCCCCTCTTTCTAGAAATAAACTAAGCCTCTAAATTCTAATTTCACCATATCGGGAACAGACTTAAGGGATATAAATAAGTGCTTAAGCAACATAACATAAGGAGGAGCATTAGAAGGTGGCTTGAACGAGAAAAAAATGAAAAGAAGAATTGTTGTGGTTCATTAACTAATTCGTTCTATTAATTAAATTTAGGCACAGAAAATTTTCATTTTTAGGATACATCTCCAGCCCTGGATACCCCAGATACTACCTGGGGGGTCGGGAGTGTGTTTGGAATCTTCATGCACCGCTCGGCCAAACTGTTCAGATCCATATATTGGATCTATCTATCCAGGTATATTATCTATATATATAAATGTATATTCAGATCCATATACTGGATCTATCTATCCAGGTATATTATCTATATATATAAATGTATATTCAGATCCATATACTGGATCTATCTATCCAGGTATATTATCTATATATATAAATGTATATTCAGATCCATTTACTGGATGTATCTATCCAGGTTAAGGTTATATAACTATATATAAAGTTGTAATCTATGTTTGTCTGTGTGTTTGTTTGTCCGATCATAACTCGGGAACCTCTTGACTGATTTGGCTCAAATTTATTTGGGAACTCGGGAGAGCCACAGGAATGTTCTTAGCTTGAATTTTAGAATCTGGGTTGAGTAGGTCGACTTTAATAGCGAAAATTTTGGTTTGCCGGTAAAATCGTTTAGTGCGGGTTAAAGGCGAAAGTAACTATTAGCAACCTTCGCAGTGCTGGGTTCCCAAGCTAGTACATATATATATATATGTATTATGTATACTTCAGATCCATATACTGGATCAATTTATCCAGGTATGGGTTTTATATATATCTATATATAAAGTTGTGATCTCTGTTTGTCTGTCTGTTTGTTTGTCCGATCGTAACTCGGGAACCTCTTGACCGATTTGGCTCAAATTTTGATTGGGGAACTCGGGAGAGCCACGGAAATTTTCTTAGCTTTGATTTGAGATTCTAAATTGAGTGGGTCGACTTTAATAGTGAAAATTTAGTTTCCCGGTAAAATCGTTTAAGTGCGGGTAAACGGCAAGAGTAACTTTTACTAACCTTCGCAGTGCTGGGTTCCCATGCATATTCAGATACATATACTGGATCAATTTATCTCCTACGTTCTAAATGTTATTTATAAAGGCTCTTATTTGTTTAAACGGAAAAACATGTTTTGAAGCAATGCATTATTACCTAAGAACACAGATTTTACAGACAGGGCAAAATATTGGATTCTTAGTCCTAGAACTTTTCAATATTTCAACTTTAAAGTATCTTCATTCTTCATTTATACTCCGTAACTCTAGATATTAGGCACAAAGGGGTTTTCATTCACAAAAATCATCTCTAACCTGTCTTGCTCTATCTGTCATACAAGAAAAGTTGACATAACAAACTTTCCTCCAAAAAAGAATAAAGAACAACCGACTTGTTTAGATCATCTGTTTTTCTTCCTTGTGCTAGGAAAAATAACATGTAAATGTTCTTAAACAAAACATTATACCAGGGTTGCGATTTTTTTTTAATAGTTTTCATGCGTTGGATAATTTACACAATTATTTCGATTGGATAAATAGTATAGTCTACCTCTGTGAAGATGATATTGGGATAGTTTCTAAACCCGCATAAATACTATATTAATTGTCAAATGCTAAGAGGGGAATAGGGCGGATACAAGAATTTACAAGGGCTAAGCTAAAATTGTGTTTTTATTTTCCTACTTACCCCTAACAACTTCTTGCTCACATAAATAGAATACATTTAACGATTTGGATTTTGGAATTTCAGAAAAATTTTTCGGGCATCGCGCGAAATATTTCCCTCTTCCGGGGGATAAAAAAAAAATAAATAAATAAAAATAAAATAAATAAAAAAATGTCTAGTTGCGTTCCTGATTTTAGTTTATAATAGCTAACACATAATGGCATTGCAATATGATTAAATTAAATTTTTTTGGAATCGGCTTTTTCTCCGGCCACGATTGTTTTTAAAAAATAAGACTAATACCAATTAATAGCTAATAGGCTGTTTAGTTCACCATGAAATTACCAAATAAGTGAACGGTCCCTTTAAGATAAAATAAGTGTGATGTCCACCCCCCCCCACACTGAGTTGTTTACATTGTTGTAAGATGGCGACCAAAGCAATAAAAATGGTGATTAAGCAATGAAGCAGTGAGATAATTGAAACTTCTACTGGAAAGTTTAAAGATATATTATCCCTTTATTACCAGTAAAAATGTCAATAAACTTGTCTATATATACATAATTCTAGAATTAAGTAATATCTCGCTCTACATACCAAATCCACTCCAGGGTGCCCTACATCATATTGGATTAAAGAATTAGTATTCCATGGATGACGCGATTAACAAGTTTAATAAATATCGAATTAGATATTGAGTTACTATTCAGTAATTGAAAAAATTATCTATTCAATATTTTTTTCATAAACAAATTGTTTCAGTATTGAATTATCATAGATTTAGATAGATATTTTCAAAAAGCTTGGTCATTGTCATCCATGGAGTTTGAGCTCTTTATGAATTCCAATGGCCAAATTCAAAAAATTTGCGTTTTAAATTTGAGACGCAACTCAAACACGGTTGGTTTCACTTAGTATTGTTTTTAAGTGTTTCGAGATTTGAGCCGGCGCTCAATTGGAACCAGTTTTTGGCGGTTCAGCGACGCGATTTAAATTCTTTAAATTCGCACGCACAACCGGTGTACATTTGAATTTCCGAGCTTTTTACTCTTTTTTAATATATTTAATTCAATTATATATTATTTTTCTGTACTGAAGGATGCTTCGATCATAAAATGCAAGGAAATCATGTTTATTACCTCAAGAAGAACAAACTGTTATGAATTTAAAGATTTAAGAAAAAAATCCTAAATCCTGTTTGTCTTACTCGGCTTTTAGGGCACTTCGCGCCCATCTTCTATTTCAATTGTGAACAAAATCAAAAAAAAATTTCGCGGATTTAAAAAAAAAAGTTTGTGGATTTTCAAAATTTAATGAAAATCTAATTTTGTTGGAGGCAAATTTTTAAAATTTTGATCTATATATCCCAGTTGAGCCCTGAAATCTGAAGAAAACTAATAAATATTATTTTAACAACCCCTTTACAGTTTACAATATGTTAATTAATCTAAAGTTTGCAAAGCTATGCATTTAAGACAATACTTATATACAAAGTGCAGAGTCCAAAACTAATGAATTGTAAAATTTTTAAAAAAAAATTTTAATTTCTTTAAACCTTTTGGCTGTATTAATTATAATCATAATTATATTATAATATAATAGGGCCCGGCGTTGCCCGTGGAAAAAATTCAATTTTTTAGCTTATAACACCCCAAGGCCACCCATGAGTGTCCACAAAAAATGTCAGCCCAATCGGTCCAGCCGTTTGGCCGGCTATGGTCGTATATATATATACATATATATATATATATAGACGACCATCTTGTTTTATTAAATAGATTAAGACAAAGATTAATCTTTGTGCTTCTTGTGCTTGCTAAAACGAATTAGACATTGTACCGCGCTTACTGTTTTATGGGCTTATATACAATCTATATTAAATGATTTTTTATTCTATGATAAATATTAGTTGTTTGATACTTTCTATGGAATTGACAAAAAGTGATGGAATAGCGTGTTACTCTGATTTTTTAAAAGTATTTATATATTTATAAAAATAAAGTACCTAAGAAGTAATATAACAATGTTGTACTCCAGGGTTCAGATTGTATAAGTCTGATAGAAAATGGAGAGACTCGAATGGAACACTGTGGCGATCTTTCCAATACAATCTCATTCTCGTCAAGATCAAACCAACTGGAACTTAGGTTAATTATATCTCTCATTTACATCATCTTGTGATTTTTTGTTTACTCCAATTTTTTAATGTTTTTGTTACATTTTAGATCGTGCAGATTTCAAAGGTCCAAGACATATGTCAGGTTTAGAAAGATAAAGATTAGAAAATTTAATTTTATGGCGAGTTTTCAGTTAAGAGTCTTTAATCAGTTAAGAGTTACAACTTAATATTACTAGAAGGAGATGCTTAATTTGATGTACTATACCGATTTGCCGTTATGTATAGTATTTTTTTTTAAATGAATAACTTGCACTAGCTCACTAAAAATCGGTACGGTACTTCAAATGAACGGGAATATCCAGTAGTTAGTAAACAAAGTTTAAGAAAAAGATATAGGGAGAATCGTTTTTTAATTGAGAATTGTTTCTTAATTGAGAATTCTAGTTAAATCAGACAATTTTGTTTAAACTACTCTTTAGTCTTCAATGCGTAAGAGGAATAAGAAGAAATACTATTGAAGTATCTTATGTTACTTTTCTGTCTGATGAACCCTGTAGATACTCTCAACTTATAGTCATACTTAAATCATTTATTCTTTCTTATAATAAAAATATCAAAAATACGTTTGCTCATTACTTTGTGTTTATTGTTAATCCTCTGATGCTATAGGACTGGGCGTTTATTCTTTATTCAGTCCGTAGATTGAGCATTAACGGTTAATTTAATCAACACAACGAATTTGCCTATCTAGTGAATGCGCTTTTTAACGAACATTTTCGTGCTGTGAAATTTGATATGTTAAACTTTTATTAATTAATCTAACATAATTTCTAGTTTGAAATATCTAAGATCTACGACAAGAAAATCTGAATTTGTGGTAAAGATTCGATTACTTTCCGTTCTTTAAAGAAACGTATTCCAGCTCTACTCTTGTTCCTTGACCTGCTAAATTTGTATTGGTGTTTCTTGCCTCAAAAAAAAATTGGGGTCATCAAGTTGAGGTGTGCGCAGAGATCTATCTTTAGTTAGTTATATAAGTATACTAACATAGCTTTCATAGCTAGGTTAACTGTCTTACTTCTCTTTATAAGACTAAGCATCTGTTAATGTTTGATAACTGATTTTATATATCTTTACTACGCAATTGCAACTGTGTCAGTACATAGGTATAAAATTTCCTTTTATATTCCTTTTATAAGAACTAAAACATGTCATCTATTTTCGTGAACATACTGCATATTTTCTTTCTCTCCACGCAGATTCTTTGTTCAAAGAATAATGTCCTGATTTTTTAATCTCAAAATATTTCACATCTACTTAGTAGCCAACTTTGTTACTTATGTATGATACAATCTCAAAATATTTCACATCTACTTAGTAGCCAACTTTGTTACTTATGTATGATACAATCTCAAAATATTTCACATCTACTTAGTAGCAACGCACACACCTCAACTCGATGACCCCATTTTTTTTAAATTTTGGGTCAAGAAACATCTAAAGGTTATATTTAGGATGAGTACAGTCAACGGAAAACTGTTCCCTCGGCGTGGTTTGCTATTAAACTATAAATCTGCAGGATGTTCCACTCCACCCCCTCTACACAGGGCTAATATTATTCTTCAGAACTCTACACATACAGTGTAGGTTTTTTAAACACGAGCTCAAGTGTACGGCGTTGTCTGTGTAGTTAAAAAACACTTTGAAAAAAATGTAAGAATTTTGAAAAAAAAATTGTTTAGCCTATTTTATCCCCCGGGTAGCCATGGATTTCATAAAAAAAAAGTCGAATTGGGTCCTGGCGATTGGTCAGCTATAGCTAACTTAAGAGGTTTGATCAATAAGTTTCGCTAAAAAATTAAGGGTTACTTGTCTCAGCCGTGATTTTTTTAAGTTAATTATATTTATATTTATAATTAAAACTTGATTATGCAAAAACTCAAAAATTAACAAAGGAACTGATGACTCATCTCAAACTTTAAACTCTTTTTTCTTCAAATAAATTTTTAATTACTTTTCTGAAATATCAAGGGTCGGTGACATCAGGTTTCAAAGATATAAGGACTATAACTATTAGAGAACACCGAGAGTATTTAGTTCCATTTATAAATAGTTGATTTTATATTTCCAAAATATACATATACAGGGTTACCCGCGAAGGATGAAACTCATTTTATATGACGATCCCAGTTTTAATTAAGTCTTTTGCCTAGAGAGTTGTTTTTAAATTATTTGGCAAAGAAAGAAAGTTTATAGTTGAAAATATAAGAAAACAGAAATCATAAAGTCCGTACAGTCGTCTCTGAAGACTCATCCTTTTGTGGATATCCTTGTATATTGACGATTGATGTTGTAAAATATTTAAATGGAATTTGAAATGACCGTAGCTAATTTAGGTACCATTGTGAGGATGGAAGTTTGTTTAAATCTAATATATCTGCTTACAAGATCGTTGAATGCAGGTAATTCTTATTCTTACAATAATTATCAACAAGAGCTGGGAACTTTAAACGGAAGAAATGAGTTATAAAAACATTATCTAGGCATAATGATTAATTTCGGAGAAAATCTAAATTTGATAAACTTCTATTAATGTCGGTATACATCCGTTTTCAAAAATGGTTCCGTGATTCCATCCCCAACCTGTCACTTTGTGAACATATTTTTCAAATTAGAATTCAGTAAACTACAGAACCGAAAGTGTCAGGGGAGCACTCTAGAGACATTTAATTTCATTTCATTTAATCCAATTGATCTTTGTACAGTGTATGGTGTAAATATGTTTACTTCCTCTTACTATTTCCACCTCTTAAAGGGACTGTTAAAGTAATTTCAAGTGACCTTCCAAGGAGTTTCCTTACAACCACATATCTTAGTAAAAGCAATAATATGAAAATATTCTTGTTTTTTTATCATAAATATGAGATACACTTGTCAATTTTGTTTCTGTAGCATAAATCCGCAATTGTCACTAAGAAAGAAGAATTATAAATTAAGATTATCAATTTATTTATAGAAAAAACCATTATAACCATTTTTCTCAGACAGCATTTTTTCGAAGAAAACAAAGTTCAACCTCAGATGTGATATTTTGTGTTGAATACTCAATATCATGTTCGCTTGATCTCGATATTCACTGGGGGCACTTTTAATTTGAGACCGGAAGTTTTTTGTTTGTACTGTAGACCGAAAGTTATTTAGTGTAGACTGTAAACCAGAAGTTTGTTTAGTTCAGACGGGAAGTTTGCTGAGTGTAGACTGTAGACCGGAAGTTTGATTAATGAAGACTTTAGACCAGAAGTTTTCTGAGAGTAGACTGTAGACTGGAATTTTGCTAAGTGTAGACTGTAGACCGGAAGTTTTCTGAGTTTAGACTGTAGACTGGAAGTTTGTTGAGCGTAGACTGTAGACCTAAAGTTTGATTAGTGTGGACTTTAGACAGGAAGTTTGCTGACAGTGGAATGTAGACTGGATGTTTGTTCAGTGTATTCTGTAGACCGGAAGTTTGCTGACAGTAGAATGTAGACAGGATGTTTGTTCAGTGTATTCTGTAGACCGGAAGTTTGCTGACAGTAGAATGTAGACTGGATGTTTGTTCAGTGTATTCTGTAGTCTGGAAGTGTGCTGACAGTAGAATGTAGACAGGATGTTTGTTCAGTGTATTCTGTAGACCGGAAGTGTGCTGACAGTATAATGTGATGACAGGATGTTTGTTCAGTGTATTCTGTAGTCTGGAAGTTTGCTGACAGTAGAATGTAGACTGGATGTTTGTTCAGTGTATTCTGTAGACCGGAAGTTTGCTGACAGGAGAATGTAGACTGGATGTTTGTTCAGTGGATTCTGTAGACTGGATGTTTGTTCAGTGGAATGTAGACTGGATGTTCGTTCAGTGTATTCTGTAGACCGGAAGTTTGAGTTGAATTGAATAATGTTTCGTAAACCACTAATCTGATGGTTGATGAACTGATGAGAAGAAGTAATTTAACTTTGTTTACATTCCATTACAATATTCATTTAGGTTTAAATAGGAATGACCCCAGAAGGGGAGTAGAAGGGGTAGACACCAACAAAACTTTTTAGAAATATTAAATAAAACACGCTTTTTCAGAGGAAGTGTTTGGAACAGTGAACCTGACAGCTGTACACCAATACATCAGCTTGTACAAGGGGCATTTAATGTACAGGGGGTACAGAGTGTACAGAGTGTACCAAGTGTACAAAGTGTACATAAACTTCTCAGAAACCAAACTTTGTTACAAGCATTACAATACGCTGGGAGTTCTTCTCACAGAGGGTAAATACATTTCTGATTGTAATTTTATTATATCATTGATATGATTTTATCATTATTTTCATTATATTATTATTATTATTATTATTATTATTATTATTATCATTATAGAGTTGAGAAGATGAGCCTAGAGGTTGGAACTACAATTGTACTTGGTTTACTTCTTGGTAATTTTAACCTCTAAATCTATTTTAGAATCTTGGCAGGACCACATTTGCTTTCTTGTATTTTTTTCAAATGCCCCATTCTTCTCCAATTTTTGTACCGAATTGATAGGTATTTTCATTATCTTAGTATTCTCCCTGGTGGTTGGTATTCTACTGTACTGTATGTTTAAGGAGGCAGAACAGTCATACTTACAGGTATGTACTATGTACATTGTACTCTCTACAAGACTGTACAGATAGTTATGTACTCTACAGCTAGCTATGTATACTCTACGAGCCTACAGCTAGCTATGTTCACTATATACAGCTAGCTTGATACACTCAAGATGTAACTAGTTATGTACACTTTACGGCTAGCTATGTACACTATACGGCTAGCTATGTAAATATACAGCTCGCTAGGTTCATTATACAGCTAGCTATGTACACTATGCAGCTATAGCTATGTTCACTATACAGTTAGCTATGTACACTTTACAGCTAGCTTTGTTCATTATACAACTAGCTATGTACACTATGCAGCTATAGCTATGTTCACCTTACAGTTAGCTATGTTCATTATACAGCTAGCTATGTACACTATACAGGCTACATCAGCTATATACACTATACTGTTAGCTATATACACTATACAGCTTGCTGTATACACTATACAGCTAGCTTTATACACTATATATAAAGCTATCTATGTTAATCATACAGCTATCTATGTAAATATGCAGCTATAGCTATGTTCATTATACAGCTAGCTATGTTAATTATACAGCTAGCTATGTACACTATACAGCTAGCTATGTACAGTTCGCTATAAAGTTATAGCTATGTTCATTATACAGCTAGCTATGTACAGTACGCTATAACGCTATAGCTATGTTCATTATACAGCTAGCTATGTACAGTACGCTATAACGCTATAGCTATGTTCATTATACAGCTATAGCTATGTTCATTATACAGCTAGCTATGTACAGTACGCTATAACGCTATAGCTATGTTCATTATACAGCTATAGCTATGTTCATTATTCAGCTAGCTATGTGCACTATACAGCTAGCTATGTTAATTTTACAGCTAGCTATGTACACTAAACATCTAGCTATCTGCACTATACAGCTAGCCATGCACACTGCACAGTGTACACTATACAGCTATAGCTATTTTTATTATACAGTTAGCCACGTACAGTAAGCTATGCAGCGAGCGTATGTATATATACGCTCGCTGTATAGTGTACTGTACATGGCTATTAATGTACCGGGGAATCTGGCGGGTCTGCGACTACGAAATATGAAAGAAAAAAACCATTTATAATCCCTATATCTTTGCAATCTGATGTAGTAAACCTTTAACATTTAAAACTTATGCTATTTAATTCAATTCAATTCAATTTGTGGGGATCAGAATATTAGAGCTTGGAGCAAATACTGAATATCTTTACCTTATTCCTGCTGGGGGTGGGGGGGGCGTCAATTCCCCCCGCTCTAATATTTTTCTTTGGTCAAAAATCAAAGTTTTATTGAAATATGTAAAATATGTTGGAATTGCATTTCTCATATAAAAAATGCGGGTAACAAATTTTCAAGATAAAATAAATATACAATTTCTTGAAATTTTCAGGATGATCAAATCCATCTTAAAGAATCCTTGTCTAAAGAAGTGATCGAAGATCAAGTGGAGAGGTACTAGAGGATCAAGATCAACCAGAGAGATATATGGAGATCAAGATGAAAATGCACGACAAAAATTCTTGAAAAATTTTCAATTTTGCTTTTTTTATTTTCTGAAAAAAAGTTCATCAAATTTTTTTAAATATTTTGAAGATTTTTTTTTTTGCAAACATCTGCTGCATGTTGATTCTATCCCGTTCCTCGTGTTACTGGCTTTCTAAAGATCTACATATGTCCTAACCTCTGATAAAATCTATAAGTTAGTATTCATGGGTGAAGTAAGAAGAACTGTTTTAATTGTTAAAAAGAATTTGTCTTTTTGAATAAAAGCTGATTATGTGTTGTTCTGTATAATTAGAAAAAGAGGAATACAAGACAAAAATTTAATATTTTTCAGATTAATTTTTGAAAGAATTTGGTGTAACAAAGTAATTTCAATAAATATATTTATAATATATTTTGTTTTAATTAATGTGATATAATATCTATTTGATAATTTACTTTTATATTATTTCCACCTAACGGCAACCCTTTTTAATTCTAATAATGTAATCTTTAAATTTTTAAATCTTTTTGTTTTCTTTACAAGGTAAAAATTGATCCTTAGGCCCCCTTTTCGATGTTCTTTGGAGAAATAAGAAAGATATAAAATTGTCCATTAAGATTTTGTAGTTTATTTGATGGTTTTGTTATTGAATATATTTCCGATTAAATTGATCGAAAAATAACATTAAATCTTCTCTGTGAATCCAAAAAAGTTGGAAAAGAAATTTTATAATGTATAAGCGAGATAGAAATCGTACAAATAAACCAAGATTGGTATAAAAACGGCAATTGGACGATAATACGCAGTTTGGATGCCGACATGTTTTATAATAATTGAAAAATCGAATTTCAACGATGATCTATATTTTTTAAATTGTTAATTTCTAAATGGTTTTTGATTTTTGTTTTCAAATTTATTTTCTTTAATGAATATTGGTCCTAATTTTCTAGTGCATAATTATTTGATGTGTAAAATAGATTTTACCTAAAATAGTTTCACCCTCGCGCACAACAGGTGTACATTTGAATGTCCGAGTCAACCTTTGCGGTCCTATAGTTTGGTCTGTACTGCCAATTTACAATTACTAAAGCGGCAGACCTATGTGAATTGCGGGTTTTCTACTAAAGAATTCTATGAACAATTTCATAATGTCACAATGAACATTTCATATTTATCGATAATACATATAGTTTTTGTTTTGTTTCATCTAAAGGGTGTACATAAAAAAAGGTTCCCACTTACATTTTGAATTCTAGACATCTCAATATTGGCAATAAAAACTTGTGAATTCATATTTACCTAAAATTTGTAAAAATAAAACTAGTCAATGCAAAAAATCGGATTTGAAAATGATTTAGTAGTTGTCTGCGAGCGAGTGCGAGCTGCCAGCTAGCTGTACAGTGGACATACATAGACTCTCAACCTTTCTTACTCTATAGAAGTTCTTATTTGCGTCCATCTCCTTCTTCTCTTTAATAACGTGTTTCTTGAGGGTTAGCAGGGCAGGGATTATACTGCTATCTTTATCTAGTTTTTTATTTTGACATCAGCTATTCAAGATGCTTCATTTTGAGGTTTCAGTCACTACAGTACAAGGACAGCTGATCCATGCATTTAAAGATACTTAGCAGAGCTTATTACATTATTTTCACTGAGAACATCTGAAAGCGTTTATGCTTCGTTTTATGATGAGGATTTTTGCCATGCTTCCTTTAAAATGAGTGTTCGCGAAAAATGAAAGGGGGTATAGGCTTAATGCGATAAAAAAGCGCTTTTGATCGCTACCAATCTTACTTCTATTTGTTGCGTCTATAAGGAGAAAATTGTTAAAAACGAATTACACCGAAGAACGCAGCGTCCATACAAATTCGGAAAGATGCAACATTCAACTCGGATCGTAAACAAATCAATTTAATTCCAAACAAATCATTCAGATATTACAAACAGTAGTCATCGATTATTTTTCGACGCATTTGGAATTGTATTAATTTGTTTACGATCCAAGTTAAATGTTGCATCTTTCTGAATTTGTATGGACACTACGTTCTTCGGTATTAGTCGTTTTTAGCAATTTTCTCCTTATAGACGCAACAGATAGAAGTGTAAAGATTAGTAGCGATCAAAAGCGCTTTTTTATCGCATTAAGCCTATACCCCCTTTCATTTTTCGCGAACACTCCCTTTAAATATCATTATCACTTAATTTAAACACCTGAACATGAGAGGAAATCTTTCTTGATCTGTTAGGAATTTTCCTTGGATTGGGCCTGAAATATTTTAAATAAGCTTCCTTCTACTCCTTTCCAAATGCTTAGACAAATAGCGCCATGACCTCATACTTATTCTTTTGGCAAATATAAAATATTCTTATGATTATGATTTAACAACCTGGCAATCAGTATGCGGCTTGAAAAACGTTTGGGTACTTGGAAAATGGAAACTTCTGAACGAAGCCACCTTTTAGACTTTTTTAGCCCCTTTCTAACACAGAATCTATTGTTGGTCAATGCAAACTTCTTCCTAATGTGTATGTCTATGATTTAGAAAATTTTCTGCTTAACTTTAGTAGATTTACTTAAAATTAGAGAAGAAATGGTAGTTGCAAACCTTTGTACAATTTGATAATCTGCGTCCTTAATATTTTATGGAACAGACGAGCAAGCAAGTTGCCGAAATTTGTCGGAAATCAAATAGGAAAATGGCACATTCTATGTCTTTAATATCTAAGATAAAAGATTTAAATTCAATTTTTTTAATCGTTTATTCAAAATGGCCGCCAACATTTTTTTTATTTCAAAGACAGTGCTTTTTGTTATCAAAGTAATAAAAAGATTTTATTACTTTTACAAATAATACTGGACAATTTTATAAGAGGGAATTTACCAAAAATTTCCTTTAACCTTAAATTTAAAATAATCTTGAATTTGTAATTAAAATATTTCTTAAAATCTTTTTTTAAAAGAGGGGAAGCGACAAATCTGACCCCTTTAAAGGAATTTTACTAACAAATTTGACTGAACCAGTTTATTCGAAAAGAAAAAGAAAGAAAGAAATTTCTTTAAAGGGACTGTAAGCGTAATTTCAAGTTACCCTCCATGCAATATCCAATTCACAACTGTACCCTTAAACCCTTTATTTGATAATAATGTGGAACTGGAAGGTATTGTCGTTTTAATTGGTTTAATTCTGATAATTTCTATATATTTGCCTGCATTTGTAGAAAAGCGCAAGTCACTTTTGTAGAGTAACCACAGTTGAAAAAATATCAGACCTTATCTAATCCAAGCTTCATAATTCTTAATCTTTCACATTGCATACTTCCGTAAATTTCATATTTGACAAAAAGGAATTGAGTTTTTGCCACAAACTCAATTCTTATGATCCCAATATCTTTGCAACCTGATGGTGCAAACCTTTGATATTTCAAACTTAGATTATTTTATCTATAAGTATTAATAGTTTGAAATATCTAAGGTGTACGACATTGGGTTACAAAGATATAGAGATTAGAAAATCAGAGTTTGTGGCAAAAACTCAACTCCTTTAATTAATTATGCAAAGAAACTTGGGTTAAACTGTGTTAAACAAAAGGAAGAAAACAAAGAAATTGACAACTAAAACCGAGATAAAAATCTCTAGTCCCTTTAAGACACATTCTTGAGTTGAAAGTCTAATGCTAAAAACTTACATTCACAAATTTTAAAAACTGTTAAAAATAATGATATTATAACATCTTTATATTGCATATTTTTCTACACATTCTCTAAAAAGGTTAACAATACAAAAGCAACATACATAATACAGGGTGAGTAAAAAAGGGATTAACAACACAATATTTTTTGCATGGCATGTTTTAGGATGAAAAATACTAAAGTAGGAATGTAATTATCACGGAAACACTATTATTTTTAATGAAGCGTAATGTAAGAAACGTTAAGGCTTGAACATTTTATTACAACGCAACGTATAGAACATTTTTTCAAATCTTTCTTAGAAACGAAACGAATAAAGAGTTTTGATTGTCAGTTGTAAAAAAGTGTAACTCAAAAGTTTTCACAATAACGTTTCGATAAATCGTAACGTAAGAAAAGTTGCATTTTAGTAAAATTTCTAAACGTAATTAAAAGAGTTTATATTGGAAAAGTTAAGATAAAACGTAACGTTAACCAAAAATATTCTTTGCACTGAAATGCATTGCAACGTGCAGAACTATGCCTAAATGACGTTTTATTAAAGCATAACGTTTGTTACCTTTTAGTTTTCAAACCAAGTGGAAGTGTAACGTAAGGTTTCTGAAAACATTTACCTTGCATGAAAGTGGAACGTTAAAAAATTGTGGTTATATTACTAAAGCTTCAACGCACCGTTGGGAAAGTTTTTTAAAACGGGAAATGCAAAAGCGTAACGGAGCTTACTTTTTTCACTAACATTTACTAAAGCTTAACGTTGTATAAGGTATTCAAGTGCGGCAAATTCATTGCGTAACGTTACTCTATGCCATGAAATTTCATAATGTGCACCGTAACATTTCAAACGTTTATACTTTTGATGAACACTACCGTAACGAAAGCTAAAATCTAGAAAAATCAAAACGTTGACATCTCTTGCAGATACTTCAAACTTTGCATTATTTTGGTAAAATATTCTAAGTTTGAAATATCAAAGGTTTACACCACTCGGTGCAAAGATTTAGGGATAAGAATATTTGAGTTTGTGGCGAAAACTCAGTTCCAAATCTAGAGAACATTCTGGCAAACTTCTAATTGATTATCATATTTGATAACCTGTTTATCTTCTTTAAACGAACTTCTATAAAATCGAAAATGAAATAAGATATTATGAATGTTGGTTAGAAATAGAATGATTAATCATATATTCAGGAGAAAACGTAACATTATATGTCCTTTTCAATGTAGATGATTAAAATTATATATGTATTTTGATGTATTTTTTTCAAAATATATAAATGATTATTTCTTGTAATTTTATCTGTAATTAAACAAGGTACTTAACAAATTTTCTTTGGCGCTCCGCGCACACATCAAAAGAATTGACTGACTTATATTGTTAATTTTACAGCTCTTGAAAGTATAAATGTTTTTAAAAACACAAGAAAAGAAAATGATTTGAATTGAACACAGCCAAATCTGCATGCAACAACTGAAAATTTCCTTTTTTCGTCGTCAAACCCTTAAAAAAGAACTTTTATTTTGAAAAAATTTTCTAAAGGGGTGGCAAGCCCCCCCTACACCCAAGATATTTTGCCCAATATTTTTCAAAGTTTTANTGAAAACGCA